ATTAATGTGAAGTATACATGTTTTAAAAGAGGATTTCCCATTCTTATATGAGTGCTTGAATGTTTGAAACCAGTTTAGAAAAATGCAGTGTTAACGGGATTTATGTTAAATAAAGACGTGTTTCACTTTCAATACGAACACTTCTAAAAATGTGTCATCCTGCGGGTAACTATGTTGGATTTTTAGATGATTTTACATGTTTCTGTAACTTTAAAAGCTGACTAAACCTGAGAATAACGAATAAAAAACTGAAGCAGGTCTGACATCCTGAGTTTGAGACGCTGACGGTTCTTCACACTCGGTCACTGTGAGACTTTAATTAGGCCTGAGGAGACAGAAAGAGCCCATCAACACTTCCAATATGCTCATCATCCTCCTGCTGCCTCGGCACAAAGCTACTACTTACAGGACACACACACACACACGCACGCACACACACACACACACACACACACACACACACACACACACACACACACACACACACACACACACACACACACACACACACGCACACACACACGCACGCACACAAACACACACACAGGCAAAAATTAAATATGCACATGCACACTCATGAGCAGAGGCTATCAGGGCTGCAGGATATTGCCTAAAAATTACTTATTTTATGCTGATTATTGCATCCAAAATAACAATGCTAGCACATGTCGTCAGCTTTTTTAAATATACTTTATTAAGGAAATATAAAATAGGGATTGTTATTCTGATGGAAATGAAATATTTGTTAACTCAGAGACGTGGTGTCTCCTGTTATGCATACTGTGTGCTTACTGCTTACATTTAAACACCAAAAAAGTAGGAATTTAACAAACTAATGATAATTGAAAAGCCAATTTATAACTTGTTTCTGTTCAGTCATCATCATAAATGTTCCTCTTTTAATTATTTAGTCATTTCTGAGACGTGGAAAAAATATTTTTTTTGGATGTCTGCTCTCACCGGAGGTAAATCCAGCTCAGCAGATGAAGGGAGGGACTCTCTGGATCTACTTAGTTTAAGATTAATTATCACATTTATTAAAGTCGCAGAGTGGAAATAACTCAAATGTTCTTTAGAGGTCAGGATGAGTTTATCAGGGAGGAGAAGAAAGAAGATCATGAGACAGAAAACAGGTTTAATCGTGTCCAATAATATATTTACATGCATGTCTCTCGATACTCTCTTGCATGAAATTCAGTCCAAGTTAACCTTACTTTATTTAAAGTGGACCTATCATGCTATATTTGAATAATATAGTGTAGGACCATACCTATATAAGGTATATTTACCTCAATTTGACCATTTCTAGCTCTGTTTTTGCAAGGGCAGATTCAGTGAGAACAGCACCACCTACAGGCCTGGCATATGTACTACAGCGTCTCCAGCGCTTTCGAACGGCAATGGCCGTGGCTGTCTCCTCCTGATTGGTGGAGTTGGCCCAATAGCCGTAGCGCCACCGTCCTGACGTCAGGACAGTGTTCAAATCTGGATCAGTTTTTATCAGATCCGTTGCAGCCCCTTTTTTAGAGATTTGGGTATGGAGGAAAATAGAGAGGGTTGTGTTTTCTGACACTTGGTGAGTTCCCTGGAACACCGGGGACACATATTCATGTAGAAAAGACGTACAAAAGTGCATTTTGCATGATAGGTCCCCTTTAACAAAAAAAACAAAAACACAATGTTATAATTAGTCAGAGCGGCGATCAGACAGTTTGAGTTTCTCCTCCATGAACAATTTGCAATTTTCTGTATATCTGTAAATGATATACTATCTTATGTATATACAGTATGTCTGTGCTCCTGTAGTATAAGCCTATTCCTGCTACTGCAGTATCTTATTTCTCATTTTCAGTTGATTTTTAATTGTTAATTCTCTATTCCACTTTTTAAGTATTTGTATATTAATATCTGAACACACTGTTGCTTATAACGAAAGAGTCTCTATCTATCTATCTAAGGGTGAGAATAAACTGGTTTTACTTAAAGGGGACCTATCATTCAAAGTGTACTTTTTGATGTTTGTTATACATCAACATGTGTCCCTGGTGTGTCAGGGAACTCACGCAGCGTCAGAAAATAAAACCCTCTCTCTTTTCCTCCGTACCCAAATCTTTAAAAACAGGGCTACAACGGAGCTGATCCAGATTTGCGTCCGATATGACGTAATATCTGAAATGTGGACCCACGGCCCTATCAGAAAGTTGCTATCAGAAACAATGCCCGACTGTTTTGGACGTAATATGGTCGGTGTTTACATTAGCATCGCTAACACTCAGAGCTAACCTGTACTGGAGAGCATGTGTGTGAAGAAGCAGGAAATAAAAAGGAACTCACCTTGTGGTATAACCGGCAAGAGAGAAAGCCTTTGAGCTCCATACTGTTTCAGAAATAATCCTTGATAATCCATGATATGGCGTTTCATCACGGCAGTATTTAGTTTAGACAGTAGCTGCCGGGTCCCGCATGAGCTCAGACCCCTCCTTTTAGATTATTTTTAAAGCTTTATACCCCAAATCAGCACTTTTGAAACAGGAAGTGAAATAGAGGGATATGAGGCATGGCTAGAATGGGTGATCTGTTTGGTATTTTGAGCAAAACACTTCATAGACATGTTTTTTATATATTTGTATATATCTGAGACCTATGCTATTGCCTAAAAATAGCATGATAGGTGACCTTTAAAGAGACCCTATTATGCTTTCTGGGGTCTTCCCTTTCCTGTAGTGTGGTATAAGTTCCCAAATTACAGATATCTTATTATCAGCTACTTACTAAAACATTTGCAGGACCTGTAAAGTGAAGTGTTACCTGTTTAAGATTAGAAGAAGTAATGCATTTGTGAATTAAATAGACAAACGATGAAGGAAAGATTTGTCCGGTAGCAAAATTATCTTCAAAAACAGAGTAGTTATTCAGACAGTTTCTGAAATTA